TTCCAATTGTTCCTAGAATTTAAAAATACATTTGGTTTTCACGTGCTGACCTGTCTTACAACTTTGCTCAACTCACTTATTGTGGTTTTTTTTTTTAATAGATCGCTTATGATTTTCTACATAATGCAATTATGTGTCTGTGATTAAAGATAACTTTACCTCTTGTTTTCTGGTCTTTTTTTTTTTTCTTTTTACTTACTGCACTGCCTGGAACCTCTAGTACAATGTTGAATCTTAAAGGGAAAAGCATTTAATATTTTACCATCATGTCTGATGTTAGTGGTGGGTTTTTCATAGACACCTTTTATTGGTTAAGGAAGTTCCCTCTCGTTCTGGGGTAAGTATTACCTTTCCCCTGACTCTGGTGGGAATGCGGCCGTTTGCTGCTAGGTCTACTGCTGTCGTTTTGACCAGCAGGTCTTTCTATTTTTTTTTTTTTTTAATTAGAGACAGGGTGTCACTGTCACCCAGGCTGGAGTACAGTGGCGTGATCATAGCTCACTGCAACCTCCAACTCCCGAGCTCAAGCGATGCTCCTGCCTCAGCCTCCCAAAGCACTGGGATCACAGGAATGAGCCAACAGGCCCAGCCTCAGGGGTGCCTGTTTCATACTGGGGTACTTCACCCGGTGAAAGCTGTACTTTGAAAAAGTTCATGGATTAAGAAGATTCATTCTTAAAAAATCTGCTCTGAGTTCAACCGATCTTAAAGTGAATGTGTTTATTAATTGAAATATGGATTTAGATTTCAAAAATATTTCTTCATATACTTGCTTTGACAACCTTTCACAGTATTTCTGTTGACAGTGTGTTCTGTTTCATGTTTCTGGAGTATTTATTATTACAACAATAATAACATAACATTAAAAAGAAATTTAAAGATTCATCCCTAATCCAACTTCTCATCTCTTGGGGGGTGGCGCTGAGGGACAGAAGCAGGGCTCGTCCCTCGTTTCCAGCATTCCAGGGACCCCTTCTCTCCCCTCGTCCCTGCAGGGAGACGGCTCCGCGGGAAGGCGTTCTACAACGTGGGTGAGAAGGTGTACTGCCAAGAGGACTTCCTGGTGAGTCTGCGCTATGCCCTTGGCAGTGCCACGGGTGGGAGCAAGGTGGGGACCCTCCTTCTGACTCATGTGGAGGCCTGAGGCCAGGAGGCAGGTGCTGGCTGGACGGCGAGTGTCTCCTTGTTACATAACACCCTGGATCGCGTGTCTCCTCTCAGTACTCCGGGTTCCAGCAGACGGCTGACAAGTGTAGCGTGTGTGGACACCTCATCATGGAGATGGTGAGAACCTCCCCCAGCCTCCGGGAGCCCCTCTGACGTGGGCGGCGTCTGAGGACCCCACCCTCTCTCCCGTTCCAGACCTGCTGGGGGCTCAGAGCCAGAGCCTCTTCCGGGGCGGTGCTGAGCCTGCCCCGCGCTGACCCCCCAGTGCCTCCCACCCCCAGATCCTGCAGGCCCTCGGCAAGTCCTACCACCCGGGCTGCTTCCGGTGCTCCGTGTGCAACGAGTGCCTGGACGGGGTGCCCTTCACCGTGGACGTGGAGAACAACATCTACTGTGTCAGAGACTATCACACGTGAGTTGCCGGTGCTGTGGAGCAGGTGTGACTCATGCTGTCCCCTCTGCCTCCCTTGGAAGTGTTTTTCCAACCTGTCTGTGCCCTTGGTTCTTGGCCTTTTTACTTCTGGCCTCCTCTTGCCCACTCGGTGCACACTCAGTGGCTGAGGCAGGGCGTGGGTCTCAGCCTGAGCCCCTCTCCTGGATGATTCGGCCATCAGCCACCTCCTGCTTCTTCCCTCCCTGCCTTTGCCTGCGTTCTCCTCTCCTCTAGTGACCGCACTACTGCCGTCCCTCTCTGTCCTCTCCTCCGTCCCCTGCCAGGCCAGGCCTCTTCTGGCTGGGGTAGGGACTTGGGGGTCTTTGCGAACCCTTTCTCCTGCCTGTCTGGCACCCGTGTAGGCAGCCGTTCTGTCCCCCCTGCTGTGGCTCCAGGCTCAGAGTTCTGATCCTATGCTGCTGTCTCATGGGAGATTGGTGCCAAGCACACGTCCCTGGTACTCAAGGTGGGGCCAGACCTGGACATTAGGGGCAGGGGACTCATAGCAAGCATGAGGGAGATGACAGGACAGAACCTGAAGCCATCCCAGAGGAGATGACAGGGTAGAGGAGAACTGGGGAGCCGGAGAGGAGGCCTGTACCAGGAAGCCATAAGCTGTCCCAGCTTCCTCCACCCAGAGTGTCCACACGAGGGGAGAGGGCCTGATGCTTGGGCCATGTCATGGGACTACTGTGGGTGGACCTGTCCTTGTGCCCTGTGGCCTCTGGTGACTCAACTGGTCACTTCTGGTTTCCTTTATTCCTCCAGGGTTTTTGCACCAAAATGTGCCTCCTGTGCCCGTCCTATCCTCCCTGCACAGGTAGGAACCGCTCTCCTGGAGATGATCAGGTGCCTGGCCCAGCCGGCTCTTCCCAGTCCTGCCTGGGTCTGCCCCAGGTCTTGGGCCACAGTGGGAGGGATGAGCAGGTGCTCCTGCCCCACGCCTTTCAGGGCCGCGGGATGTGCGCCGTGCCCGCGCGTGCCGGGCGCGGTTGTCCCCTGGCATGGGGTACAGGGAAGTGGTGGCCTCTGCTGCTCGGCTGCCCCACGGCCAGCCTCTGCTCCATTCTCCATTGATGTAGGGCTGCCCCCGGTCTGTTCAGCTCTGCGGGCCGAGGATGGGTGGGCCGGGGCAGCAGCTGAGAGGGCGCCGCGGTCTGTGCAGCAGCCACCAAGCTCCGGGTCTTCCCACAGGTGCTGGTTCTGCCCCCGGGTGTGCCCGGGGACGCAGACCTGGCAGTGGCCTTTCCTCACTCCAAAGAAGTGACAAATCACACGCACGCACTCATTTGCACCCAAGTGACGCTCACGTGGACACACGTGTGTGTCGTTAGCCGTGAACGACGCCTGAGGCGCGTTCGTATCCATCTGTGTGCGTCTGCGGACGCCGTGCTCGCCCGGTGTGGGCACACCCGCCGTGACGAGAGCGCGTTGTGTAGGTGTGTGCTCTCACGCACGGTGTGCTTATCGCGTGCGAACCCCGTCTCTCCCTCCAGGGCTGCGAGACGACCATCCGAGTGGTGTCCATGGACAGAGACTACCACGTGGAGTGTTACCACTGTGAGGTGAGCCTGGGCTCCCGGGCCGTCCCCTTCCCCCACGGGTCTCCGTCTCTGCAGGTGTTCTGTGGGCCGGCCTCTCCCGGATGTCTTCTACGCCATTGTACCTGTCCTCTCCCAGCGAGCTCTCGCTTCCCCTAGGCCATTTCTCATTCACGCAGACACTCACTATCCACGGTATGTGGGGCTGGGGATGGGACAGATTAGACAGTCCCTACTGTGGCAGGAGAGACGCGTCCCCGGCAGTAGCCACACAAGGCGATGAGTGCTGTCGAGGGGCCGTTGGCAGGAGCTGGGGACAAAAGGCCACATGAACTAAGGAGTGTGGACTTACCCTGAGGGCAATGGAGAACGGTCAAAGCATGATGACAAGATTGCACTTGGATTTTGGAAAAGGCACTGCCTTGTGGAGAACGAATAGGAGGAAGAGGGAGTGGGGGCAGGGCATCCCCAGGAGGCTGGCAGAGTCAGGGGTGGGGTCCTGGCTTCAGAAAAGGGACCGAGTTGAGCGATGGTCAGGAGTGGAAGGGCCTGGGCTTGGCGAGTGGCCGCAGGCAGGAGTTTGACCTTCGGGACCCCAGCAGGGAGTGAGGGCGAGAGGAAGAAGGGGGTGAGATGCTCTCGTCTGGGGTAGCTGGAGACATCAGATGGGGACTTAGATGTGTGGGAGCTCAGAGACTCTGCCGACCACCGTAGATACTCAGGAGTCGTCGGTGTGTGGCTCTCGCCCCTCTGGTACTTTGCCCTGTGACGTCTAGTCGCCTCGGCTCCCCCAGATTCTCAACTCCAGGAGACCCCTGGGCTCTCTCGGGCAACCTGGAAAATCCCTGCAGGTGGTTAGTCAGGGCAGTGCAGGGCTCACCTGTGTTTCCCATCTGTCGGATTATCGATCTGTCCTGCCTGTCGTCCTGAGTCTCAGAGTCACCGTTTCCTGTATTTAATCTGCTTTCTTCGTTGTCCACGGTGGGAGAGGAAATCCAGTTCCTGCTCCTCTGTCGTGGCGGGAAGCAGGAGTCCCCTCTTGGCCTGAATGTGGCAGCTGAGGCCTTCCCGGGGGAGTTGTAAATGAAGCAATGGGAATCAGGGTAGCCCAGGGAGCACCGACATTCAACGGATGCATGGCGGCAAAGCAGCCGCAAAGGGAGGCTGAGAGGGAGTGAGCAGAGGGGCGGGGGAACACCGAGGGAACCTGCAGGGGAGCAGAGCCCCAGGAAGAGCAGCAGGGAGTGTCAGGGAGAAATCTGCTACAAGAATCAAGGATCCATTTTGCAGCAAGGTCGCTGGGGGCAGGTGGCCCAGTGGGAGCTCAAATCCTGCTAGGGGACCTGGGAGAGACGATGAGGAGCAGGTGCAGTGTGCAGAGGGGCCCCGGCTCCCCCTCCAGCGGCTGCAGGGCCTCAGCATCCCTCTGCCTGCTCGGCTGTCCTGTGGACTGTGGTGTCTGCTTGGGACCCCGGAGCACAGTCCTTAGCGAAAGGTGGACGCTGACAGGGAGCGGGTCCAGCTGCTGGCGGGGTGGGGGGTGCGGTGCTGTTGCCCCCCCAGGAGGCTGCTGGGTGGGAACTAGGATCTGCAGGTGCCTGCACCGCTGCCCTCTCTGGCGGGCAGCGGTTGGTACCAGTGCCCAGGCAGTGGTCTGTGGCAGGACAGGGAGGAGACCCGGGCTGGCAGTGGTTTGGGACCTGAGGCTGTGACTCTGTCATAGCAGCCCAGCTCCCTGACCTGTGCGGGGTGGGGCTGCTGTTGGTCTCCAGGGCTTTGGGTATCAAGTGTCAAAGCTGCCAGGATCCTCAGTGGCAGAAATGCAAGATAAGGGACATCAAGCCAAACTCCTCCTTCATGTGGTGTCTCCAATTCTTCTCTTTCCATTGTCTCTTCGGGCCACCTTTCCTGTGACCCCATGTGGTGGGATCCAGTGGACACTTCTCAGGTGTCACCTTCTGGGCCTCTGAGAAGCTTCCCACATCCCAGCCACTCCCTCCTTTTTTTTTTTTTGAAGCAGACTCTCGCTCTGTTGTCCGGGCTAGAGTGCAGTGGCATCAGCCTAGCTTGCTGCAACCTCAAACTCCTGGGCTCAAGTGATCCTCCTGCCTCAGCCTCCCGGGTAGCTGGGACTACAGGTGCACACCGCACCTGGCCCAGCCATTCCCTCGCTGACCCACCTGCTCCTCCTTGCCCTGCCTATCCCTTCCTGGCTCTCCCCACCTTCCTTCCTCCTCACATCTCCTTCACTCAGGTCCTGTTCTTTCCACCTTGTCACGGGAGCCTCCAAGCTTCCACTATTTCTCCTCTTCTCTTTTCTAGTCAGCTGCGCTCCGTGCAAGAGGTGATGTGTTGTTTTATTTTTG